GCTGGAGTGCAGTGGCGCCATCTCGGCTCACTGCAACGTCTGCCTCCTAGGTTCAAGCAATTCTCCTGCCTCAGCTTCCCAAGTAGCTGGGACTACAGGCGCTTGCCACGAGGCCCAGCTAATATTTTTATTTTTTTAGTAGAGTCGGGGTTTCACCATGTTGGCCAGGATGGTCTCGATCTCTTGACCTCGTGATCCGCCCGCCTTGGCCTCCCAAAGTGCTGGGATTACAGGCATGAGCCACTGCACCCGGCTGAGCCAACATTTTAAAATTGAGGCCCAAATTTAATTCTGCCTTTATCTTGCTGGGTAGGGTATGCTTTCAGAAACAGACATATACTAATGGTTACCTTTTCATGTCGGTAATTTAGAGCCCTAGAACTCAACGCTAAGAGAGAAAGCAAATAGAGAGCATTTCTGAGCAAAGAGCCAAGCCACCTTCCAGATAGCATGAGGTGACAGTGGAGGAGCCCCAGCAGCCAGGCTCTGGGCTCCACTCCAGATGAAGAATGCCTGTCCTGGCTAAAACCGCAGATTCCTCTGCCACTCCACCCCTACAAGGAACTACTACAGGCACTCCCAGCTACCCAGCAGTGGGGCAAGGACTCTAGGCTAGGGGTCCCTATAGATACTCCCTAACCTCTAAGTAGCCCTTCTAAAGCCCAGAAAGAGGACGTTCTGATCTTTATTTATCCCAAAGGGGGAGCCGATAATTATAACTATCATGATGCTAGCATCTAACATCTGGATGCATATAACGTGTGAGACATTCTGCTAAATGCATTACCTCATTCAATCCTCACATAACCTCATGAGGTAAGAAGTGCTATAATTCCCCGTTTTACAGGTAGGGAATCAGAAGCTCAGAGAGACAAAGCAACTTGCTTACAGCCATTCAGCAAGGAAGTGGCAGAACTGGAATTCGAATCTAGGCAGTCTAGCTCTCAAGCCATCACACTTAACCATTAGGCTACATTGCACAGATATGATGATTGGTATTCTTCCAAGACCCCATCAGCACGCTGCTCTCTATACCTGGGGCTGCCAACAGCAAACACTTGTGATTCTTTGCTTGCAGCTTATTTTCTGGTTGTAGGAACAGGCACAGCACACAGGGCACATTGAAAGTGCTGGTGAGTGGATTTCCCTGGGAGCAGCCCTTAGCCTAAAATGGATGGGGAGCCAACAGATAACCCCTCAGCTTCCAGTCCCTTGACTGAGAAATTCTGAGGCATGCATTCCATGCTGATTCTGAGAGTTCTCCAGCAGGGTTAAACTCTAGCTGCCCACAGCAGTAGCCTGCTCTATAATACTTACTTTCCCAGCTTCCCACCTCTTCTGGCAATGCTTTCTTATTTGGGAGGTGTTTCCAGGATCACTTCCCAAATAATGAACTTGCCCTTGAATCCTTACAGTCTGTTTCTGGGAAAACTCAAACCCAGGACATGGCTGGCTCTGGGACCTTGAAAAGTTACTGAATCCTCTCTGAGCCTTAATTTCTTCATTTGTAAAAGTAAAATGAGCATGATAATAGTACCTATCATTCCAGGATGTTGTAAGGATTAAATTACCTGAGTTAATATTTGCAAAGCGCTTAGAATAATAAATGGCATATAGTTAGCACTTTGTTAAATAAATAAATTTTAAGACTCTGAGAAATCCCATGTGAGCCATCTAAAATGGAGACTTTTCTCAAGCCCATGGTCGACTGAAAGCTCCCCAACCAAACAGAGCAAACTCTGACGTTCTGAAATATACCACGTGTGGCAACTGCACCAAGCTCACACTACCATGAAATTCTATTACCCCAATTCTAGCAGCTCGATTTTACTGTCACTCACAATTCCTCCACATAAGAGGCTTGAAAGTAATTTCTGAGTCATTCCGGGTGCTAATTGGTTATTGCACAGGGATTACATTTCTCACGTTCAAGGTCAACTGAAATTCCTCTGTGAGCCTGAGAACAATTTTTGGTCTGTTGGAAACATTTTTTTTAATCAACAACTACAGTATGGAGCGATTATAATTCAAGCATAGACAAGTATTTGCAGGCTCTTGCTAGAAATAAAGAGACACAATTTGTTGCATGCGGATAAAACAGTCCGCTATTCCAAGCCAGTTACTGGCCCAGACAAATGCTCTGTTTGTGCAGAAAATCTTTTCCCTGGTGTTCTGAAACGTCACCCTGGCTGCCCCAGGACAGAAGAAATCATTTTGCAAAACAAAGACTTCGTTGTATACAAGAAAATACTGGCCTTGTGTTTTTCACCCATAATAGTACGTTTCTATAACACAGCAGCAAAGCAACACCACCTCATCAGCAAGTTAGGGGAAAGAGACGGAAAGTGTTCTCTGGAAGGACTGCCTTCCTGTCTTAATTTTTATCAAACAGCATCCAGTTTTTACTTCTACTTGGAGGGAAGGTTCTTTTATCAATCCACTTGGGCTTGAGTCCAAGACTGGGGGAAAAGTCCTCTGCCATCAAGGTCACTGGAGAATGACTGACAAGCTCAAGGCCAGTGTGTCTGTTCCACTTGTTTCTAGGAAGGGAGGATCCAAGTGGGTCAGAACTATCATTGTCTTCAAGTGGGGAGGGCACGGGCTCAGGACAAGGAATTTGGGAATATCTAAGTGCTATTTCTTTTTTATTTTTATTTTTTAAAAATAATTTTACTATTATTTTTTAATAATGGAGGTGGGGTCATATGTTGCCCAGGCTGGTCTCGAACTCCTGGGCTCAAGCAATCCTCCTGCCTTGGCCTCCCACAGTGCTGGGATTATAGGCGTGAGTCACCGTGCCTAGCCCTTAAGCACTATTTCTATCAAGTTGAGGGGAAAACAAACTTGATAGAAAGTTTGTTTCTTTCAACAAACAAACAAACTTGTCCTTTATCTTGATGGGTAGGATGTGCCTTCAGAAACAGGAATACACTAATGGCTACCTTTCCATGTCTGCAATTTACATCCCTAGAACTCAACGCCTGGTGACCAAACAGAGCCAACCAACTCTGACGCACTGAAATATACCACATGTGGTCACTGGGCTCTTCGCAGGAATGCTCTTGCGATAAATGCTAAAATCCTTGGGGTAAATACTCTTGGGAAAGCTACTCTTGAGATAAATGCTAAAATCCTTGGGGTAAATACTCTTAAGATAAATGCTCTTGGGATAAACGCTAAAATTACTGGGACAAATACTCTTGGGATAAATGCTAAAATCCTTGAGATAAATAAATACTCTTGAGGTAAATGCTAAAACCCTTGTCAAGGCCAGCATGGTCCTGCTTCCTCTGACCCACGCATACTTCGCCAGCCTTTCCTTGGACTCCCTTTAGCTTTCTCTACTCCACCCATGCTGGTCTGCTTTTGGTCTTACATGGTTGCTAAATAACCGCCCACCACAGGGCTTTTGCACATGCTGTTTGCAGAATGGAATACACTCTCCCCACTTTTTACGTGGTAAAGTTCCATGACTGTTTCCTTCCTGACATGGCCCCTGTCCTTTCAAACTACGTGACGTTTGTTTTGTACATGTTCTCAAGGTACCTGATGTCTCTTTCACAGGACTTTACATAGTCTTTATACATTTTTAAAATTTGTTTGTGTGATTATTTGACAAATAATAAAAATTCATATTTCACTTTAGCTATGCTATTACAGACATTTTTGGGGGGGTTAGTAGGCCATCATTGCTAATCTAGAATTGATCATCTCCCACCAGACTCAGAGTATTGAGTTTGTGGGAACAAAATAATGTGTTTTCCCTCAGGAAACTACTTTAAAATCACTCAATGCACATATAATGTAAGTACTGAAGCCTATGTCCCCCCAGACATTTTCTTTGTAAAGCTGGGATGTGTCCTATACACCTGATGCTATTATGTAGCTGAAAATGGTGTTTATTTGTCCCCATAGAAGGAAAGGGGTTTGTCTCAGGTAGGAGCAGAGCCAGCAATGTGACTTAAGGTCACAGCCAAGGGTTTTCCACTTGATAAAACTATTATCTGGGAAGATCTACCCACGGGGTATTTCCTGAAGTCATTAGCACAATCAATTCCACTCGTTAACTACATAGCACCACTCTGCCAATACAGCCAATCCAGATTCCATCCATTAGCAAGCCTAGCAGACTCAGCCTCCAAAACATATCACTTCTCTGTCCTGTTTTGTTTGTTTGTTTATGAGATGAAGTCTGGCTCTATTGCCCAGACTGCTGCAGTTGTACAATCTTGGCTCACTGCAGCCTCTGTCACCTGGAGCAATTCTTGTGCCTCAGCCTCCCAGGCAGCTGGGATCACAAGTATGCACCACTGTGCCTGGCTACTTTTTTTGTATTTTTAGTAGAGATGGGCTTTAACCATACTGGCCAGACTGGTCTCGAACTTCTGACCTCACATGATCTGCCTGCCTCAGCCTCTCAAAGTGCTGGGATCACAGGCATAAGCCACTGCACCCGGCCCTCTGTCTACTTCTTTCATTCACCATGACTACCATTCCAGTCCAAGTTACCATCAAAATGGTGGGCAGTGAGTGAGAAACGTCTAAGTCTGAAGCAGGAATAACTTCATAAGGCAAGGGCATTTCATTGGGGTCTTGAAGGATTAATCAGAATTTTCTAGGAGATGAAATGACCTTGCAAAGGCTCAGAGTCATGAAAAATCTTGGTAGGAACCATGCCCTAAACAGGAAAATTAGCACAGCAGCAAACTTAACTGGTTCCCATTGATGAAAGAAGGGAGATAAGAAGAAGAGAGAGAGAGATAAAAGAGAGGGAGAAAGAAAGGGGAGAAAGAATGAAAAGAGACAGAGGAAGGAGAAAGAAAGAAAGAAGAAAAAGAAGGAGAGAAAGAAAGGAAGGAAGGAGGGGGGAAAGAAGGAAGGAAGGAGAGAGAAAAAATAAGAAAAGAAAGAATGAGAGAGAAAGAAAGAGAGAAGAGAGAGGAAGGAAGGAAGGAAAAAACAAAGAGAAAAAAAGTAGAGAAATAGAAGAGAAACCTCACCTCAAATTTCTGCCGCAGTTCTTCATTGCCCTCACTTCCTTCTGGTGGGACAGGCACATTGAAGTATTCGCCTTCCTCCTGGCTCAGTAACTTAAACCTAAAGGGAGACAAGGGGGCAGGACAAATTTCATGACTCTACTTGACATTATTTTATTGATCAGGATGTGAAAAGGAGGCTTATAAAAAGCTCTACTTCAAAAAATATATGGTGAGGGTTGTTTGGTTTGTTTTGCTTTGGTTTCGGGTATGTTGGGTGGGGGTAGTGTGCGTGGGTTTATAGCCAGGTACACTATGTATTTTTGTAACTCTTCCATGGACAGCAGAAAAAAATATATATATCCTGTGTATGTAGGAGGCAAAGTTCTCTCTCTGTACATACACTTACGCAGTCTTCTTCATTATATCGTTAAATTACCGTATATGTTTTTACCTATTTTTGTTCATTAAGTAGTTTCTTATTCTGAAAGAAGACTATGAAGATCCCACAATGTAAATGTTTTTGTTGTTGTTGTTTTTAGAGATAGGGTCTCTCTCTGTCACCCAGGCTGGAGTGCAAAAGTGCAATCACAGCTCACTGCAGCCTCAAACTCCTGGGTTCAAGCGATCCTCCTGCCTCAGCTTCCTGAGTAGCTGGGACTATAGGCATGTGCCACCAGGCCCACTAATTAAAAATAAATTTTTTTTGTAGTTATGGGATCTGGCTATGTTTCCCAGACTAGTCTTGAACTCCTGGCCTCAAGTGATCTTCTCACCCTATCGTCCCAAATTGCAGGGATTACAGGCATGAGCTGTCTGTCTGTAATCCCAGCTGTAAACCCCACCGCCTGGCTGTAAATACATTCTTGTCATGCTTTCTAGCATTTCTACCTGTCACCTACATAGGGTGCCACCTTGTCATCCTGGCACTCAACTGCATTTAGGTGACCATGGACTTAACTTCGTGATGCTGTTTTTTTTCTGCAGAAGCTTGCCCCAAGTGTGCTGTAGTCAGCCTCTGGAGAAATGGCATCCTTTAGTGGTTAAGTGTACAAGACCTGGAGTCAAACCATGCCTGGGTGCAAATCTCATTTCATAACCCTAGACAGGCTGGTTAGCCTTTCTGGGTCTCTGTTTTTCTCATCTATAAATTGGAATACAAATTCCTTTTTCATAGAATTCTTGTGAAATAGAAATGTAACGATGCATGTAAAATGATAAGCAGCATTTGCATTCAGCAAGTGTTCAATTAGTGGTATCATCATGATTATTATTCCTCTGACTAATGTCATTATTATTATTATTATTTATTTTAGGGACAGGGTCTTGCTCTGTCACCAAGGCTGGAGTGCAGTGGCACAATCATAGCTCAGTGTAGCTTTGACTACCTGCGCTCAAGCAATCTCCTGCCTCAGCTTTCAACTAGCTGAGACTAAGGGCACGTGCCACCACACCTGGCTGGTTTTTGTTTTCCTTTTTCTTTCCTTTTTTTTTTTTTTTTTTGGCAGAGCTGGGGTCTTGCTATGTTGCCTAGGCCAGTCTTGCACTCCTCGGCTCAAGCAATCCTCCTGCTTCAGCCTCCCAAGTAGCTGAGATGATAGGCACATGCCACCATGCCCAGCTACTACTATGATAATAACAAGCATGGGCTTCAGTTTGTTTCTTGAGCACAAATATTTTTCCAGCTAGCCAGAGGATGAAATGAGTGTGAGGAAGGAAAAGGGACATTCTAAAAGCATTTGAATCAGTGGGGAAGAAAACAGACCCCAAAATTCCTTGCTCTCAAAGATCATTCCTAACCAAAGTGTAAAATTTTCATCACAATGTTTTGCCTCCATTCACGAATCTTCTTAGGCAGCTTCCAAAAATGGGCTAGGTGATTCAAAGCAGAGAAGGCAATTTGAGCCTCTAGGCCCCACATTTAATATTCCAAATTTTCTTCCAAATTTCCACGGAAATTAGCAAAAGAAATACAAAAACAAGAGAGCATCTGTATCTTTGCTGGAAATCAGGAAGGGTGCTATCCACACAGCAGGGATTCCTATAAATGAAAGTATAGAAAGAAAAAACAGAGCCCTGTTCGGTTAACTTTATCCGTTCAGATACTACCTTTGTGGATTTTGCTAGATCTGTATATCAGTGTTGAAACATCTGTTTTTTAAATAATAAATTTAATTTTAAAGGACACTTTTTATTTCTTCCTCGGAAGGAAATTCAAAATCACTTGTTACAAGTAGAAAATAATTGTTAAAAAAAAAAAAAAAAAAAAAAGATAGGTGGTAGTGGTGGCTCATGCCTGTCATCCTAGCACTTTGAGAGGCTGAGGCAGGAGGATCACTTGAGACCAGGAGTCCAAGATCAGCCTGGGCAACACAGGCCCTGTCTCTACAAAAAATAAAAAAATTTAGCCGGGTATGGTGGCGCACACCAGTAGTCCCAGCTACTTGGGAAGCTGAGGTAGGAGAACCACTTGAATCCAGAAGTTCAAGGCTCCAGTGAGCTATTATTGCACTATTACGCTCCAGCGTGGATGACAGAGGCCTGTCCCTCTGAAAAAGAAAGAAAAGAGAAGAAAAGAAAAAAAGGTCCGGTATGGTGGCTCACACCTGTAATCCCAGAACTTTGGGAGACTAAGGTGGATGGATCATGAAGTCAGGAGATTGAGACCAGCATGGCCAACAAGGTGAAACCTGGCCTCTACAAAAAATCCAAAAAAATTGGCCAGGCGTGGTGGTGTGCGCCTGTAGTTTCAGCTACTCAGGAGGCTAAGGCAGGAGAATCACTTGAACCCAGGAGGCAGAGGTTGCAGTGAGCAGAGATCACGCCACTGTACTCCAGCCTGGTGACAGAGCGAGATGAAAGAAAATAAAAGAAAAGTAAAGAAAAAAAAGAAAAGAAAAGAAAAGAGAAAAGAAAAGAAGATGCAAATCAATGTTATGCAAGTGCAAGTAGATGGTGTTGCTTACCAAAGGCTCTCAACCTAAAGCCTGCCTCTGTCCCTTTTTTAATGGGAGATCAGCAAAAAGCAAGTGTTAGAGGGTTAAGCGTATACCAGAGCCCTCTGAGTTTCTCTTTGTCATAATCTGAAGAATTGAAAGAACGCTGACAAAAGAATTCCTTTCTCAAGCACAATTCAATATTATTTATGCCCTGACAATGAACTAACTGGAGTATTTGGGGTCTCACACTTGGGAAAACACAGATACTGTCATTTGTAAAAGGTGCCCCAAGAGAGCCCAATAATGGCCCTGGCTGAGACCATCAGGGACTGAATGAGGGTCACTGATTCCCATTCATAGGCAGGAGGAGAGACCTCAGTGCCTGGAGCAGCAGGCAGGGGCATGGTGCCATAGTATGTGTTCATGGAGGCCAGTACACCACAGAGTGAGTGAAGGACATTGCCACTACTGCCTCCAAATAGGACTCCTGTGGCCCTTCAGAGAGGAACAGGAGCCCTTCTGACTTTGAGATGCACAGAACCAATGTGGGGAAGATGGGTCTCCATCTGGCACCAGGGCTGCCTGTTATGCACCTGTGTCCACTGTAGTAGCCCTGTCCCAATGTCAGGAACAGGACTCCTGATCTGACACAACAGAATTCCAAAAAATAAAAAAGACTCCTGTCTCCCTTTATCCAGGCATGAAAGCTTAGAACAAGGACACTTGTCATTTCTGTGCTCAGTCTTCTATAAGGATGAGCAAATAAAGACAATCGATGTGTGAAAAATTTAGTCATTTAAATAGAAACAATGCAGAATCGAAGTACTTCCCATGAAATAAAACTGCTGCCAAAAGAGAGAACATTCTAGAAACTACCTAACTCATATTTTCAATGAGATTCAAGAGGTTGGTGCATGTATGTAAAGGGAACAAATATGAGTGGGAAAGACTACTTTCAGAAAAAAAATATAATCACTCAATTAAAAAATCCACTGGAGACAGGGAACACAGCATGGATAATTCAGATAACAATTAGTAAATGACAAGAAAAACTTGAGAAATTTTCCTGGCAATTGGCTCGATATTTCTCATATTAGAGTAGACATGAAACAAATGCTTTACATACCACTAAGAAAAATGCATATTAGCAAAATTAATTTACAACACAAAAAGGAGGAATATTGCAACATATATGTCAGAAAAGACATTAATATTCTTCTCTATAAAAAGTTCTTACAAGTCAATAAGAAAAAGGCAAAAGGACATAGTCATATATAAATATAAACAAATGGCAATATGCAAATGAAAATGTTCAACATGATTAGCAATACAACACGTGTATAATCTTTGTATCATATTTTTGAAATTTATCACACTAGATGTTAGTGTTAGTAAAGTGAAAAGTTTCATACAAGATTGATAAAAATGCAAATTGATTTTTAAAATTGTAGGACATTTTGGCAAACACTTTAATAATGCATATATGCTTAAAGCCATCAATTCCAGTCTTAGAAATTTATTAGGAAATTATTAAAGCTGGTCACAAAAGTTTTGCTACAATTATGTTTATTGCAGATTAATTTTAGGTGAAAAATGCAAGCTCCCAAATAGTATCCACAGTAAGATTTCATTTTTTGTTTCACTGTCTCTCTGTCTCTCTAGGGTCAATAGCGATTATGGGCACTAGGAATGTGGACAATATACTCTAATTACTTACTTATATTTTTCTGATTATTATTCAATTAACAATAATGACTAACACTGAATGTTATTTAGCAGACATTGGGCAGGTCACTTATATTAACTAATTTGATATTGTGACAATCCTGTGACATAATCATGACTATTATCTCCAAGTGAGGAAATACAGCACAGAGAGGCTAAGTAAATTGCCCAAGGGTACACAGGTAGGAAGCAGTACAGTAGAAATTCTAGCCCAGGAAGTCTCATTCCAAAGACTTAGTTTTTTTATTTGCTTTTCTTTCTTTTTTTTTTCTTTTTGTAATAAGATCAAAACGTCATTATTAACAACAAAAGAAAATTTTTTTAAATTATAAAATGACACTGATTTAAGATAATAATTATCTGTTCAGAAGATGAAAAAAGAGAATGAAATAGGAAAGAAAAAGAAAACTTTAGAAACAGAAACACCATAAGAGAAAATTACAGCTGTAAACATTAA